CAGAGTTCCATAGCTCAAGCTAACAATGCTGAATAAGGCACAGGAGGGACTTAACCTTTCTCCCTACCCCTCTTTTCAAGCTCTATATTGCTCCATATAGAGCAGGTGTGGGTTCCTCCAGCCCTCCAGCAGTTGTGGAACTACAAGTCCCATGAGGCATTGCAAGACTGACAGTTACAGGCATGACGGAATTAGTAGTTAAAGCACAGCTGGAGGGCTGGAGTTGACCACTCCTGAGTGTTAATTAGAGGGACACAGTCTGAAACAAACAGCTACTGTTGTACTCTCTTTAAAAAAAATACAGAATGCTCATAGGCACCGGTGTCACAGGTCCACCCTATATTAAGTGTAAAATAAATCCAAATTAGACCAAAGCCATTACACTTTCTCTATAGGAAAGCATGTATGGTCTGTCAAGATACACACACATTGAGCTAGGTGATCAGTACGGTATATAAATGTACTACTTGCCTAAAGGATTGTTCAGGTTAGGGATAGTATAGTGAAAAGTTTTCTAACCTTCATATGGTCCAGGAATCTTTTTTGGGGGAAGTCCTGTATTGTTAAAGGGTACCCCATGTTGGTTATGTGTTTAGATGAAGCACTGAGATCTTGAGGAATGCTGAATTAGGTTGTACTTGCTTAGAAGAACATTAAATCTATGTATATATGGCATTGTGCAGGAAACAGATATATAGGAAAACTTCCTGTGTATCATAGATAGGCATACATATAGAGAGTAACATTGCACTGCAGTGCCGTCTATAGCTCAGTATATGCTGTTGTATTTCCAACACCCCAGACATGTAATGTATTTATTATGCTGGATCCTAGAGAAATCGCACACAAACAACTGAGCATCAATTCCTAAACGCATAAAGCATGCCGTGTTTTCACCACTGTGCAATTTTTGTGGTTTTTAGTTTTAAAAAAATTGAATTGTTCAATTCACTCCCTCCAGTCTCTCTTTTCTTACACTCCATCCAGCCTTGGAATGTCCCTTGGCGTCCCTATGTCCTATACACATTGTATTGGTGATGATGACTCACGGATCCTTAGACTGCTGGAGCCAAGGGGAAGTGAGGCTGGAAGAACCGGTCTTTTTGCACCTAGACCAAAACAAACACTTAAAAGAGAACTATAGTCAAACCTATATGCTGACAGCACAGAGCTGTGTCTCTCTAGAGCCAGAGGCAGCTGTGCCTGCCCCCTTTACTTGTCTGTTTCTCCAATAAGCGCTGGAAGAATAGAGAGAGGCTAGGGGGGAATCCCTGCGGAGAGTGAGGACATATTCACTCACTGCTGTTCGGCATCTATAAGAATAGGCCGAACAGCAGTGAGTAGCCTGCCAGAGGTCGTAAATATCACTTTCTTCAGCAACACAATGATGGTCAAATCTATACCTGGACACATGCTGAGTTACCAAGCCAGTGTGTTTATTGTCTAGTCTCACAAACATATGTACATCAGTGCTTTTTAATTATTAAGAAAATAGTAAAATAAATATTTCTCTTTTTACTGGGGAGTACTGATCAATGCATATTCTAGGGAAAAAAAGAAAAATGTCCTACCTGAATGATATATTACAAGAAAACACTAGAGGGCGACCAAATCCATGATATCGTTGTAAAGGCAGTAGAGCTTACCTATAAAAGGGTCAAATCAACAAATAAAATACTTTTATCTTTTTTTTCCACATTGTACTTTTTACTTCACTTTTACCTATTTATAGATATCTAAAGCTATTTATATTTCACTACTTTTTTTTAACAATTTTTATTTTTTTGCCATGAGAACATTGTGCTAATAGGTTTACCCTGTTTGTGAACAGAGGTAGATTGTTTGCACCTCCAAAATGTAGTAACTTCTTTTTGGCTAAAAGTTTTTGGTAGGATGTTGGCTGAGGATTGCAATATTTTTTTATTCAATTTTACCAGTGTTTAAATTTTTGTTCTGCTTTTCTCCACTTTTTCTGTCACAGTATTCCATTTTCTCTATCAAATTCACATGTTTATAAGATTTATAAACAGGTTGAAAAGCTAACATTGAAAAGACAGAGTACTTTGGTGAAATGAAATGCTACATTTTTTGGCTGCGTTATAGATAACCTCCACTCCCATGGATGTATATGATATTAAATTATATTCATTATTTGATCTGTGATTGTATAATTAGATATGGAGAATATAACCTTTTCAGTAGGTCACAGGGCACCTGACTGATTCAGAGAGGTGCTGGTTACCTACTGTATGTTGCAGCATATATGACAGACTGCCTGAAATAAACTCACGTATGCATGTATCACAGCTGAGCTCTAAAATGACTATTGATAATCCAGAAATTCACATGAATTGAGCTGTGTTCATACATCAGTGAGTTACAGCACCAAAATCACAGCAAATATGGAACTGGCATACTATTCTGCAGTGCAATGCACCATTGAAATGGCAGCATGATTAATTTTACTGAATCAGTGTGCAATTTTGGGACCCAGAGAAGTTAATGGTAACACGGTAAAATGCATGTTTATTGCAGTGTAACTTCGTATGTCATATAGCAATCAGAATTTATTGATTTATTCTCTATTTATTTTATTGTTTTTATTTATTTTTCCTGGGAAGGACATGTATTTAGAAAAATGCAGTATAAGACACATTCATACATATTGAATAACTGCGTTATTGCGTAAAAACGCAAGTATGACAGCTGTATGATACCATGACGGTAAATTGAAACCATCATACATGCACTAACCTGCCTGACAATGCTGGCAGTAAGAGGTGTCTCTATGATACAATAAACTGAATGAGGCCTCAGGACAGGTCCCGAAGTGGGCCGGGCGGCTCAGTCGAGCCGAAGGCATATGCCTCTGCTCGATTGTGCCGAGGTGAAAGGCGAAGCTGGCCGAGTGGCCGGCCATTGGCCGGTCAACATCCTGCTTCTGACAGCTGGACGGAGCCAGCCGAAAGATCACGGCCACTTGCAGAGAGATTAGCGTCCCTGGTTACCAGACAGCCCATCCCTCCCGGGCGCTTCGGGAGTCTCCCACTCCCGGCCACCCAGGAGAGAAACACTTTCTCCAAGAATCGAGCAGAGTAAATCTTTCCCTGCCGTTGGCTGCCATCAGAATAAAAAACAAATCTCACCATAGGAATGCATTGCTAGATTCCTATTGGCTATTGCAATTTGCAATAGCCAATAGCAAACTAGCTATTGCACCCGCCCACTGCTGCTGTCAATCAGCAGAGGGGACCTGCAGGTCTCCATCAGGTCCCATCTAGTGATTGACAGCAGCAGAGGACGGGTGCAATAACTAGTTTGCTATTGGCTATTGCAAATTGAAATAGCCAATAGTAATCTAGCAATGCATTCCTATGTCGAAAATATTGTTGTTGTTTTTTTGACGGCAGCAGAACCGCCCACCAATGGAAAACAGTTGGGCGGAGCTAGCTGTCACTGCTAGCTCCGCACAATCGTTTTCCTTTTTTTTTCTACTTTTTAACTATTTTGCTATTCTGCTGGATGCCACAGAGGGACCGAGCAGAACAGCCGAGCTATTCACTCACTGCTGTTCGGCATCTATAAGAATAGACCGAACAGCAGCGAGTAGCCTGCCAGAGGTTCGGCTCAACCGATCCAGATGTTGGATCGGCTGAGTCGAACACCTTCTGCACTTCGGGTCGGCTGAACATGCCAAGCATGTTCGGCCGACCCGAAGCCACCTGATGTACGGCTTATTTCAGCCGATATACGGCTGAAGTCAGCCGTACAAACCTGAAGTGAATAGCCGAACTTCACTTCAGGTCGGTCGTTCACTTGGCTGCCTACGGCAGCTTAGTGAATAGACCCCATGGAAATCTAAGTGTTGAGCATTGAAGCACTTTCCTACCAGCAACTGATAAGTTGCTGGTAGGAAAATAAACAACGCAGTATTTTTTTACTTTTTATGTTGTATAATGGCTAAAGAACAACTTGAACTATTTGTGCAGGTCAACGTACAGCATAGCACTTACAGTGAAGAATAGTTAGCTACTTTGTTTAAAATCATATCATACAATAGACTATGGGGTCTATTCACTAAGCTGCCGTAGGTAGCCGAGTGAATGACCGACCTGAAGTGAAGTAAGCCGAACACTGTTCGGCTATTCACTTCAGGCTGGTACGGCTAATTTCAGCCGTATATCGGCTGAAATCAGTCGTACATTGGCTTGCTTCGCATGGCTTCGGGTCGGCCGAACAATAGTAAACTAGCATTGTACCCGCCCTCTGCCGATGGACCTGATGGAGAACTGCAGCAGAGGGCGGGTACAATGCTAGTTTACTATTGGCTATTGCAAATTGAAATAGCCAATAGGAATCTAGAAATGCATTCCAATGGGTACAAATGTTTTATTTTTTTTTCTATTCTGACACGGCTCCGTGTCAGAATAAAAAAAAAAGAAACAGCGGTGTTTATCTCCTTGGCAGCCAGGAGTGGGAGACTCCGGGAGCGCCAGGGAGAGTTAGCTGTCTGGAAATCAGTGTCCCTGGTTAGCAGGTAACCAGGGACGCTGATCTCTCATTGCCATTGGTGCCTTTGAATTCTGGCTTAAGGGGAGGCTATGATGTGAAGGGGCTTCTGGTGTAAAAGAGGGAACTGTGATGTGTAGGGGGGCATCTGATATGAAGGGGGAAATTC